AACCCCAAAACCCCAAAACCCCAAAACCCCAAAACCCCAAAACCCCAAGAAATAAAATACTAACATATAGGGGAAAGTTAAATCAAATTAGAATTTAAATTAAATCATATTAAGAACAAGAAGTAAGTTAGTTACTTTAACTGACATAATATAGCTCAATTTTTAAGCAATAAAAAACCTTCAATTAAATATCTATTAGTCATTTTACTTAGAATTAGATTGATTATTATTTCCAGATTTACTCTGAAAACTATTATTACTTAGCCTTTTACTTTACTACTACTATGATTAATTAAATTAATCATATTTCATCGTATAATTCTTAGAACCTCTTTAGCTTTAAGGGGATACTTGTTTTATTATTGATTATCTACTTGAATGTTATGATGATAGCTTAATGTTTTTCAGCTCTTTAGGATTGAGATTCAATTTATCTGCAAGCTGCAAATTCAATGATTTTTACTAGTCTAAGCTCCTTATCAAATTTTTAGTTAGGCTTGCCTTAATATAGTTCTTTGTCTGAGGTTGATAAGCTTTTAGCTAGGATTATATCTCTTGCATTGAATTAGTTTTATTTATATTCTGACTTGTATTCCTAGCACTAGTGTCTAATTATTCGATTTTACTCAAATTTTCATTCTTGCTATAGGTCTCAAGTTTACTTTCATTTTCCTCTATCTTTGCAACTCTCCATTTATCTAAATTTTCAGATTTTAGTTAAGAGATAAAAATTAAATACCTAATCTAGACTAGATAATCTTGTAGGAAATAGGCTCCTTCATAATTTATAAATAGGAAGTACCCATCTTATTTAATGATTGAATTGGGTCGACACAAGCAAAACTATCTAATTTCTTTTCCTGATTCATCATCATTCTTTTGATAATTGCTGATTTCATATAGATTGATTTTACCTTTTTTTCATCTTCATTAGTTTAGTTACCCAATGCTTGAGTTTAGGGCATGTTTTCAGCAGATTTCATTAAATACTATTTTTGCTAAGCGAAAATCATATTCCTCGATTTCCCTAAAGAATTTCTTCGCCGTGTTTTTTCCTCTTCTTCTTCAGGGATTGCATTTATTGTTTTTCCAAAGTTTTTGAATTTAGGAAGCATCAAAGTATTATTCTGTATTGTTTATTAATGTTTAACAGATTTCACTTTGAAAGTCTTAGCTTGATTCGGATTTTCCATAGAAAATTTTCTGTCAATTAACAAGTTTTAAAAATCCAAAGTTTTAATTGAGTCCTTATTTTAATATTTTAGCTCTACTGATTCTGAAGCATATTTGTTTAGTCTCTATGAATTAATAAATATTGTGAATAAGAGGTAAAATATAACTTACTGGGCTTTCTTTCTTTGGATTTTTGTAAATCTTAAAAGAGTTTGCAGATGAATTCACATTATTCAGATCTGCCTTATTTAAAGAAGAAAATTTTGAGTTAGTCCTCATAAATCCCCCATCTTCTATTGAAAATAAAGACTTCCTATTCACTGTGTTTAATAATTAACTACTGAAATCAGTAATTACTGTTGATTATTTATGTAAGAACTCCTATTCATTAATATTATTGCGATGATCTTCAAAATTATTTTTATCAAAACTCATTATTTGTTAATTTATAGATTACCTTGTTCAATTAAAGTCTTGATCATTTTTATGCTTAGAATATCTTTAATTACCATAGTATGGATGTGTTTCTCTTGAGTCACTGCTTGATTAATAAGATTATCCTATCTATCTTTCTCAAAATAATTACTATCTTTTGATATCTGCCCTATTTTGATTATCAGATATATCGTCATAATGACTCTCACTATCTTACCCCTATTCAGTAAGATTTTATAGACTTACTTATTATTGAATTTCAATTTTTGTATTGATAATAAGTTATTTTTTATCTTAGTTTGCTTATTGTTATTTTTACTGAGAATTGCTCTATATTTCTATAACTTCTTAAATTTTCTCCCCCAATTTTTAGCTTAGTCCATTAGCTTTACTCTCATAGTTTAATTAGATTGGTTAATGGTCTTGAACTGGGTTATTTTACAAAATCAATAGCAATGCTCTTCTTTTGATTTTCCTTTAGAAGCCACTTTGTTGGTTATCCTAGTTATTATGGGCATCCTCATTTTAAATAGTCTAATGTGAGTTAATTTCAGGTAGAGTTACAGTGTTAATTTTTTGAATCCTAATACTACTACTAGAATCTTTCAATTAATTTTATGAATTAATTGGGACATTTTTAATTTTATTCTAAAATACTTCTTCTTTATTATACACCTTGTTATTACTCAGATTATCAACTTATAATCAAGAATCATTTATAACTTGTTAATTTCGCGATAAAATTTTCTAATGTACATCTTTATTACAACTATTGCATAAATTCCTATGATTTAAACCATCAGATCTTAAGTTGCACAATTTACACTTAGTGTTTTTATATTATTCTTTTATACTGTCATTCATAGAATAAAAACAAGTAGATGAGTTTTTATGACTTGATTGATATCCATTCAACTAAGTAATTTGCTTATTTAAAGTTGGCATTACTTAAATTTGTGATTCAATAGTGGCAATCAATGTATCTGGAGAACTTATTTAAATAGATTGCTTATAATTTGCTCACTTTATCTAAGATTATAACGTTTTTAAGGTAAAAGTTGATGTCGGTGACTGGTTAGAACTTTTTGGTATCAGGTAAGCTTCGTTATTTGTAGAAACATTAAAACCTTGCATTTTTATGATACTTGATATTACTATAATTTTTGATACTCTTAAAATTAATTCCTAAGATAAAAATACTTCATTGTTCAATATAAGTTTTAGACGAATTAATCAATCTATGGGGTTTTGGGGTTTTGGGGAGATCGGAAG